ACTGAAGTTGTTTACAGCAGCGGTCTAGGTGAGAGTAATTATCAATTGAGAGGACGTTTCTTTTAAAAAAAGGTTGGGAATATCTTTAAGACAAAAGCAAAAAGGATAAGATTTGGAAAGATTTCCGTTTATCAATAATGAAGTCAGAGTAATCAAAAATGATATTGATAACAAATGTCTTTCCTGTATGACACCGCAGGATGCACCATTGTGCAGCATGTGATACTACTCAGGATGTTAGGGACATCAGGGGGATTAATATTTTAGACATTTTTTTCTTTCATTTTCATTGTTATATAAATAAGGGTGAAATAAAGAACCATAGAACTGATAACTTGTATTTTCATGTCTTAGTGTGATAGTTCAAAAAGACTTTATAATAAAAACTACATTTTCCTTCAGGTATACTACAAAGGCACCCACCCAAACTACCCAGACGGGGGGCAGATGTCTCAGTATCTGGATAAAATGGCCATCGGAGACACTATTGACTTCAGAGGACCCAATGGGCTGCTCATCTACAAGGGCAAAGGTATGGAGTTTGGTGCTTCTCAAAGTTGCTGCTGCACTTTTACCTTTTCCTACCACCAGATGGCAGTGTGTTTAAATATGAGCCTGAAATGCTTTGAGGGTCTCTTCATTTCTGAGACTATAATCTTCTCTTCTAAGGAGTGTTTTCCATCCGAGCCAACAAGAAGACGGAGCCAAAGATTCAAAAGTACAGACATGTTGGAATGATTGCAGGTGGAACAGGTACATTTATATAAGTTATTAAAGGTGTTTTATTCACCTAATAAGGTTAAACCAAGACTATCAATCCCAGTTAAATGATTAGTTGGATATCAAGTGATATCTTTACCTCAGTGAAAAAAAGAACATTTATTTCACCTTCCTATATCTTCAGTCCAAGCTCTATAATTAGTGCTGAATGTCTCAGGTATCACCCCGATGCTGCAGTTAATCCGAAGGATCACATCAGACCCTGCTGACAACACCAAGTGCTCCCTCATATTTGCCAACCAGGTGGGTCATTTAGGCGAACATCACCAGTGAAACTGCAGGTAAATGAAACATGGCTGATTGAAGTTTGCTTATCTCAGACTGAGAAGGACATTTTACTGTGGGATGAGCTGAAAGAGGTGGAGAAGAACCATCCGGAGAAAGTTAAAATCTGGTACTCTTTGGACAGGCCTCCAAAAGGTGAGATGGCAGGAAATTAATTGTCTTACTGTTACGTTTTCCAGCTAAATATCTTTGCAACCTAACTTTGCTTGAATTTAATGGTTTTATTTAGTGTCTGTACATTTATATTCCACCCTGAAGATAAGTTTACTAGAACTATTTCATATTTTAAAGGTATTGTGGAGGATTTTTGCAAATTTTTGATAAGACCCGCCCTCTCCACTTAGAAAATAAACGCATACGAAAGCGTGCATGAGCCAATTTCTCCTCATGCAATTTTTACACTAAGTGAAAATGGAGACAAGCACGTAGGACGGCCTTACGCAAACATATCACCAGAATGATTGACAGTTAGGAGGACCACTTATTTTGATGATCCACCCGGAAAAAAAAACTCCTCCACTATACCTTTAATCCTTCTTTTAAAGAAAAAAAGTTATACACTACATTTCAAATAGATTAAAAGTATCAGTGGAGATGCTGCATTTGATCCTTTCACCATCATTAGCTTAAAGTTGTCAGATTTGTTAATGTTTTGCTTCTAATTGAATAAATGCCCTTTCTTATTCTCCATTAAAGGGTAAAAGTACATCTGATATTCTAAATGTTTCCTGAATATTTGTTACCAGTTGAGCAAAAGTCTGACTCAAATTATGCTAAAGATTATAATAAAGATAGGTACAAAAGGCTTAAAAATAAATTGATGACATAAAGAAGCTACTGTTTGTTGCAGTTTTCTTTTACGTTTTAGGATTTTTGGAGCCGTTGTAACTTTTTATTTATTGTCCTGGCTAGTTTAGTAATCTTTATGCAATAATACTTAAAGTGGCTTAATGAAACACACCTTTTCTTCTTTTGCATAATCCCTAAAGTATGCTGGTGAAGCTTCTCAGTCATCCAGGTCATATTAATTCCAAAAACAAAATAAAAAACAATCCACTGGACTTGGTTTCGGGGTTTGAAGACGTTTCGCTTCCCATCCAGGAAGCTTTTTCAATTCAAAATGTCGGGAATAGCGTTGAGATCGAGGTTTTAAACAGTAACAAAGGCTTGTTTTTGTTTTGAAAACATGCAAACTGGAACAAACGAAGGGGTCCACCAGTTTGGAATGGGGGTCGTTTGGCCTCTTCTGTTAGACTGCAATACCCCATACCTGTCTAGGTCTCTGAAAGGGAGGTTGTTAAAGGGGATTGTTGACCTGGCTGAATAGGTGAGGTCTCCCACTCTCTCTGGGCCTCAAAAAGGACAATGGACATTCTTTGGA